CGCAAGTATACAGGTTCCTTCGGCGTGGGGGTGCTGCTGCCTTGGAACGCCGATGCTGCTGCGGCCACTGCTGGCCCCCTGCGGCGCCGTCTGCAAGCAGGTTCCCGTTCCCCATTTTGAATCATGAACAGCAGCAGCAGGCTCAACTGCCTCAGCGCGGACAGGGCCGCCAGCCCTTGCATCGCCCATCGGGTGACCAGCGCCTTCATGGGAAGAAGAAGCGGGTTGCCCCGCAGGTAATGCCTCGGCCACCATTTCATGATATCCCCGATTGTATCGCTTGAGGCGGTGATTGTTGTCGGTTCTCCCACCTTTGCTCAGCGAGTTTTGCCTCGTCTTCGGTGATCGGCTGGTAATCAGCTTTGGTCGAGCATTGTCCAGGGGGATGTTTCGTCGGATCTACCTTGCGACCCGCGCCATCTCCATGAGACCAGACCCACGGTATTCTCTCGAGGTTTGGGTGCTTTGAAGGACGCTCCATGGGACGCGCGGGTCTGCGGTCTGCAAAATGCGCGCAGCTGCAGACGTGGCACCGGCATTCTTCTCGGTCCTGAATAGTGGCCCTTTTTGCGCCCCTTCTTGCAGGCGTAGCGGCCGACTTTGTACCGGAACCTGTTGGCACGGACGATCGTGCCATCATCGCCCCGCGTATTATTGCGAAGTGAATGCCAGTGGCGGGTGTCGCGTTCGGTCCAGCCGTCGTCGAGCCAGCGCTGCGTGCTTGATGCTGACATACACTGGCGAGCCATCCCATGATCTTCGTTGCTGACGAGACGCTGTACCCCGCGGCCTTCGGGCTCGCCTGGCCGCTCCTCGTCCTGAGGCGGGTTTCCCCGCGAGCGTCCCCTTCTGGGTGGAGTCCGTGGGGTCCTCGTGCCAGGTGGATGCGGGCGCTGTGCGCCGCTCGAACGGGCGCGTGAGTGCCGGCGCGGATAACTCCGACTATGACGCTGCGGGCGACGACTCTCGGCTCCCCATTCGTCCTCGTCGTCATCTTTACGACGCGCCCGTCTCCAAACTGGGCGGCTCGCGGGCCGGTCGCGCATTGCGAACGCGAAGTGTCACGTCCAAGTTTACGCTGAATGCGTTGGGAGAGGTCACCAACATCGCGCGGGTTTCCCCGCAGAGGGTCGTCGTCGTATGTCTCCCCGTAAATCGGATTACCAATGACCTGCGGATGCTGCAATTGTAGCTCCGCTCAGTTGCTGGCATGGTAACGCCGGAGCCCGCGGGTGCCCCCGCCATTTCGTGGTCCGAATCAGAGGGCGCGTGGAAATCCTCAGCGAACACAATCTGTGCAGGTTGCCTCGCAATAGGAATGCCCAACCAGTCCGCCAAGTTGATCTCGCCGTGGCCAACGTAGATCTCCCCGAAGAGCTCGTCGGTATATCTCTCGAGGGACACGCTGGCGTATAGATGCCTGGCGGCCATGCAGTGGGCGGCGGCAGTGGGGGTGTCTTCGGGTTCGGCTAATCGCGTCTCCGAATCGACATACTGAATGTCCGAATCGACTTGAGCCAAATGTATCGACGGACCCCTGCCTCTCCCATCGCCTCGGGGGCATTCACGACGGAAATGTCGTGTGCTACGTCAGCTATCACATTCCGTGGTTTTCCCAGTGACATCTTTCGGGCTACCACGACGTCCATCACCCTTTCCTGAGGTGCGCCTGCGGCCTCTACCCGTTCCCAGACAGATTTCGTCGTATTGTGGTCCAGTAAGGGATGCCAAGAATGCCAACATTCCCCTGTCATGTAGTCGCCGTCGTTTGCCTTGACCCTTGCCTCTACCCTGTGGCCTTTGCTTTGAACGCCCGTCGGATAATGCGTCGTACCTTGCAAACTGGTTTCTTCATGAAACGTCTCCATCGGCGTGTATGTTCCTGGTCTCCTAGAAATAACCACTGCGCCTGGTGCTCTTCTGTGAGATACGTAAGCATGTCGGAGTAATCTAGGGCGCCAGTTCCTTAATCGGATGAAGTGTCAGTGTCGGTCCCGGAGTCAAATTCAGACTCGGCGGCTTGCCCCGCTGAGCCTACAAGGGTAATGGCTTGGACAGGGGCCGCCGTTGCCGACGGTCCCTGATATCGAGCCCAAGAGTCTTGCGACCCCATAGGCTGGCCACCAGGTTGAGCGAATAAGGTGGTGGCTTCTGTTGGTTGTGGATCATCGCTCCAGACGTTGGTAGCAGGTTGCCCTGCATTAGTATCAGTGTGAAAGGTTTCGGTACGATGACCGTGGCAAAATTTACCATCGGCGTTGCCAAGGGTTCGCTCGGCAATGTGCGCCAAGGACCCCATGCGTTCTAGTAGAGAGTCGATTTGTTGCTGGGTCCTTGGCATTTGGTGGTTGAGTGGTTGTAGTTATTGTTGTGCACGCGACGTGCCCACTGCCAGAGACCTGAACAGGATGACTGTTAAGATCTGGGCGTTGGGGATATTGAAGCCCGCGGCTTCGGCCTCGAAGCGGGCTATCTCAAAGCGTGCTAATGTCTGGTCGATCCGCTCTCCCGCATGGACGCGAAAGTCGATGAGAGACTCTAGATGTTCGAACTCAGTGCTGAGGAGGAGCATGCTGTCGGTGACGCCGTCAATGTGGCGACCACCGATGTTTACGCCAAAGTCGATGATGTCAGAAAGTATTATCATGGCTGTGGTCCTTGCGAACCCTCCCAGACCACGCTGTAGTGCTGTGGCCTGTTGGGAGTGGGTCATGGTGCCTGTGGTCACGTTGATCCAAGCGTATACCTCGCCAGCGACTTCGCGGAAAAGGTACATTACCGGCAAAGTCCCAGTGGGGGCCCGTTGTACGTGCGTCGTCTCCGCCACGCTGCAGATGTCCCACAGCGCATCGGACAGCGACCCACAGGTGGCCGAGAGTGGTAATGCCAATCCAGTGGCCCCTGAAGTCGCGGCCGGACGTTCGTGGCTGGGGGGTGCGGTGTGCTGTCGTTAGCCTGCGTGGGGGGGGAGGCGGCACAATGTCGCATCGCATGTTGCCATGCATTGCGTCGGCAGAAAAGCTTCCCATTAGAGTAGGATGGTGGACTTTCGGAATGTAGTAGCGCAGGGGAGTGGGACTATGTAAGGGGCCCCCGCGAGAGCGGAAATAACACAGCAAGTGTCCTTGCGGTTGTGCGTAGTTATGTACACTCCTCAGCGCAGACCCACTGCGCCCTGATGTTCCACCATGTCAGTAGTCCACCAGATAGTGCCGTGGATGGTGAGGAGTAGAGTTAGAGCTGACCAGCATAGGCCAGCCCCGCTACCAAGCTTGAAAGGGGGATGGAAGGCCCAACCAGACCAACTCTGTTGTACCGTAGTAGCGATCGTCCCAAAAGTAGGAGATCGTTGCGGGAGCGACGGGCCATGTCAAACGAAAATGTATTCGGCCTCAATGGCAAGTCGTGTGCCTCGCGATGACGCGCAGTCATATGTTTGTGGTCGGCCGCTTGAGAACAAACGGCCGCGGACAAACGCTCGCTATCTTTCCCCTTTGCCCCAGCCTCCTTTAGAGTGGGGGGAGGGGGATGAGGGGAAGGGATGCGCGAGGAGGAGGAAGGAGGAAGAGGAGGAGGAGGAGGAGGAGGAGGATGGAAGGATTATGAGACTGATCCCGAGAAAGGGCACAAGGAAAATGTGGTCGAGGATGAACAGAAGAACTGAGGAGTGTGTCACGAACGCCACTCATGATGGAAAGACAAGGGAAGAGGAGGGACAACGGAGGACGGAGAGAGAAGGGAGAGAGAGAAAGCAGGCCAGAGGACCGATCACTGCTCGCCAAGGGGGACAATCCGCGTGAGAGAATTCGCTGTCCCCCTTACCGGAAATCCAACATCCCGTCGGGGGTCCAGGAACTCCTGGCGCTCCCCCTGGACTCTTCGAGCCTCCACATCAAGCCTGTGGCCGCCAAGATGCTCAAGATTGAAGGGGCCCCAGGACACACAAATAAATACACACAAATAAAAACATTCCCCATATTTTCCCATATTTTGTGGGGTTCTGTCTTCCCCCCCACTTCCCATATTTTCCCATATTTTCCGGGGAATCGAGGATCAATTGTGTCTGTGTGTTTTTTCCTCTCCTGAAAGATGATGTCTAAGATGGTTCCAGAGGGTTCCAACGCACAGGAGAGGCCTCAAGAACAGGCCAGACAACTCCAGGACGACCGAAGATGCCGAGCGAGAGTTCCGAGAGAACTCCCGAGTGGGCCTCAAGAGGCAAGGTGGCCTCAATAAGCAAAACCAATGGTTTTATGTTTGCTCGAATGGTTTTCGCGTTCTCGCCTTTTCGGGCGTCTGCAAGCCCAAGGCGGCACGAGAGGCCCCCCCCAGACTGGCCCAAGACGACCCAAGAGGCAACCTGAATAGGGCCCGGAGGCGGCCCAAGAGGGCCCCATGACGTCCCAAGAGGCCCCCAAAGACGACCAACAAAAACCATCGAGAGGCTCCAAGAAGGGCCCAAGAGGGGGAGCCCGCAGGGACCCCGGGAGCCCTTCCCCGCAAGAAGGCCCCTCAGATCCCCAACATGAGCCCAAGAGGCCCTCAAGAAGCCCCCAGAGGGCTCCCAGAAGCCCCTGGGAGCCTTGAACAAACTCTCGCCCCCCAGGCCTCAAGAGGCCCCCCAAAAGCCCCGCGACAGACGCGGAGGAAGATGGGGACGAATCGGCAACAACTACACGCAGGCAGCACGACGGGAAGTGACAGACAAACACACACGCACACGACATCGGAAGCCGCACGCATCCTTTTCTGGGGTATGGAGGAGAGGGGTGCGGAGGAGGATAGAGGAGGGAACGTGGACGATCAGATAGAGAGAGAGAGAGAGAGAGAGAAGAGGAGGGAGGGGTAAGTATTGAGGAGGGGGGCGAGGGTAGAGCACGATGAGGAATGAACGGTGAGGGCAGCGGAAGGAGGGAGGAACGAAGAGAGACAGCGAGAAAAGGAGGGAGGTGGGGGGAGAGGGGGCGGAGGCAGGAGAGGGGGGAGGGAGGAGCGCGGAGGCGCGGACCTCCACAGCCTTGTCAGCATGCACCAAATTCATGTCCCTGAACTCCGTCCGCCTGTCTGCGAGCTCCTCGCACGGGGCGTGGCGGGGGCAGCTCGACGCGGGCCTCGGGGCGACCTCTCGGCCGACGCACCCAGGCAGCACGACGCGACGTGCCGCCCCCCGCTGAGGCGCAGGAAACGATCGCACGCGTGCAGCGCCGACGACGGAGCGACGAAGAGAGAGGGATCCTGGACGAGCTGCCAGGGCGACCCCTGCGCGGTGACTGGCGCGGGCCGCCAGCGTGGCACGCCGCTGTGGCAACGGGGGCGCCTGCGCGCGACTCCGCGCGGCCTGGCCCAGGCAGCTGGCGCGCCAGTGCCGGTGCAAGCGGCCCCCGGTTCTTCCGTCGCCCCACTGGAGCGAAGGGGTCCTGGGCCACACGGGGCCACATATTGGCTCTCCGAAGCCCACCTGCGCCCTCTGGGCGCAGGTGGTGGCAGGGAGGTTCCTCTTCCAGCTCCCTTTCTTCCCCTTCGGGAAGGGGTTTGCCCCTCCCCCCTAGCCCCCCCCCTGGACATGGACGGGGGGGGGCGGCGAGGTGCCAGGCAGTACTTTCTCCGCCCAAGGTGCCTCGGGATAGCCTAAGATGCCTCAAGATGGCTCCGAAGACGCTCCAAAAGGCCCCAAGAGCGCCCCAAGACGGCTCCAAGAAGCCTCCCAGTCATCGAAGGAGGCCTCCAAGAGGCCAAAATCCTTCAAAAGCCGAAGAACAACCCATGATTTTGCATCGTCGCCCGTTCGCTCTCGATAGCCTTCCGAAGCCTCAAGATCGCTCCACAATGGCCCAAGAGGGCCCCAAGAGAGGCCCAAGACGTCCCCAAGAGCGCTCTAAGAGGCGATGTTGGGGGCTCCCGAAGGGCAGCGCGAAGTGCGGCCCTTCTCCTCTTTGACCGATGTCCCCCAAGATGGCCCCAAGAGCGCCTCGAAAGCTGCCAAGAGCGCTCCAAGAGGGCCCCAAGAGGCGCCAAGGAGGCCCCAAAAGGCGACCAAGAAGCTGCCAAGAGGCCCTCGAGAGACTCCCAAGAGGCCCGGAGAGGCTCCCCGAGGTACGCAAGATGCCCTCGGGACGTCCAAAGAAACTCCGAGAAGCATCACAAAGACCTCTGGCCCTTTTGCTTGCCCTCCTCCTCCTGCTCCTCCCTTTTCCTAGTCCTTCTTTTCCTCCTCCTCCTCCTCCTCCTCCTACTCCTCCTCCTCCTCCTCCTCCTCCTCCTCCTCTCCTCCTCCTCCTCATCCTATTCATCTTCTTTCTCCCCACTCCATCATCCATCCAGCCAACCTCTTCCTTCTCCGCCTCCCTCCTTCGCAGGGTTCGGTCGACCCCCACTTTGCTCCCGCACGTCCCTGATCACCTCAACTCGCGTGGACATCGTTTCTGGATGGGCTGGTGGGGATACTTTTTTGTTCGCGAGCGCGCAGGGATGCCAGGCGCCGCAAAACAACGGCCTAAATTCCGCAGCGCGAGGAAGGAACGAAAGCAAGCGGAACACGAGGCGAAACAAGCGGATGCAGAAGCGAAGAAAGAGCACACAGGAGCGAGCTACGCTGCGGCTCGGGAGACGCGGTGGATGAATGCTGGTGGGGATATTTTTTTGGTCGCGGGCGGACGCGGATTCGCAGTCGCCGAACTGAGAGGTCCGGGCCACGGGCATGTCAAATTAGCAACGCGCCAGCCTAAAAGCGCAGCGGCCGAGCCGCTGGTGGGGGTACTTTTTGATTCGCGGCTCCAAGGACAGCACCAGGAAGCGGGACGGTCTCGGCTGGGGCACAGGGCGAGATAATTGGCTACGACGGCGCATAGGCCGACGCAACAGGTGCACGTGCCAGGGACAAAATGCCCCCCATTAAGATGCGGGCGACCCATGTGCGGGGACGCAGGCATCAGACAAAAAACAGACGGAGGAGGAGTCGCACAGTGGCGCCAGCTCGAACCGTGCCGACCAGCGCGTACTGGCGTGACTGGTGGGGATACTTTTTCTTCTTTTTTTTTGTTTACAGCCGCGGGCGGAAGCGCCAGCGGCGGCGAGTAACGGTCGGGCCGCGGCCGAAACTAACTGGCCGGACGCGCGCGCGGGCCGCGGCCGGCGCCGGGGCGGCGGGTGCAAGGGTGCTGCAACCCAGGGAGTCTGAAGACCAGGGACCAGCACCCAGGGAGCAGTAATTACGCTGCCAAAGTGGCGCGATGCAAATACCCCCAAAGTGTCAGAGGCCATAGCCAAGCAGTACGCCGCTTGAGACACTATCTGAGCAGTAGGGAGTCTGCCAACCTCGGCGAGGGAATGGCGTACCAAGAGGTCCCAGGGTGTCTGCCATGCTCAAGCAGAAGCGACCGAGAGGCACGCAAGCTGTCGCCAGACTGCATACCGTAGGGAGAGGTTGGACTCTGACAGCGCCAGCGAACCGTCGCAGCTTCAGAGTGCGCACCAACGCAGCCAAAAGGCGCGAAATTCGTGGTGTCAGTAACCGAACGAGGCACGTCAGGCCCGGGAGACAACCTCGATAGATGCGTTCGCAAGCGAGCCACCAGGTAACATGATGCGACGCTATGCGGAAGGTGCAACTGTCCCAAACCACTACCAGGCACAAGTCGCAGGCGACTGCCAACCGGAGATAAGAGCAGGGACGCGTACCAGGGAGCATCTAACGTGACGAGCATACACAGAGCCGCCTATCCTTGGTACCCTGGCGTACCAGAGTGAAGTGTAAGACGATGGCGCTCTGGGAAAGCTGCGCTGCCGCTTACCAGCTGCAGCCCAAGCAATAGCCAGTGGTCGCGAAGAAGCCCAGGGAGCTAACCGCTCATCCGGGTAGAGCGGGGGAGCGACGATGGGATGATGCCAGTCCGGGCAACCGGAACTGGCGGCCAGCAGAGGAAGCAGGCGTACGCACTAGGCACAGGTATGGGCTCAGTCTTCTGACCACCCGCGGCAACACTGTGGCCGGTGCGCGCAGGTGGGCGCGCAACTGCCCGTGCCGGAGGCGTACCTCAACGGCTCAGAGGTGCACCATCTGGTCATCGTTGAAAACCCGCTGTCGGGACGCCACCCGCCCACGGTCGCACCCAGGGAATAGCAGAGAAGAGCAGCTGAAGGCCGCTGTACCTTAAGGAAAACCCAGGGAGTGTGCGTGCGGTTCTGGACAGGGACGAGGCGAAGCCATCTTTGCGTCGGTCACAAAGCCGCGGGGCCAGGGGGCGAAGTCCGACAGGGCCAGAGGTGAAAACAACTACAGCGTGGCCAGGAGCCAACTATGGCCTGCACGCAACACGCCCAAGCGCTGTCATGCAGACGGTATTGCTGGTAAACACACTTGGGGATATTTTTTTACAGCCGCAGGCGGAAGCGCCGGCGGCGGCAGGTCACGGTCGGGCTGCGGCCGCGACGAATTAGCCGTGCGCGCGCGGGGGCCGCGGCTCAGGCGGCGGTGCAAACTGCAGCCCAGGGAGTCTGAAGGGAAACAGCCACCCAGGAAGCAGGGAGGACGCAGCCAAAATGGCGCGACGCACATCCCTAGTCATGAGTCGTGTCGGACCGACAATCACATGTGAGTGGGGATCAGTCTCCGCGCAAGGAAGGTGTCAGAGAGCCCAGGGAGTCTGTCGGGTATGAGCGAGACCGTAGGCAACATAACTGACGTCGTCCAGCAGGGAGATGAGATTCTGACAGCGCCGGCGAACCGTCGCAGCTTCAGAAAACGCACCCAGCGGCTGACAGGGCACGCCTGAGACGTAGACGACAAAGTCAACCTCAGAGCGACTGCGGAAGGATGAGTCTGCACGCGAGAGATCAAAGACATGATGTAACGCAGTGCGGGGGTACGCCAGTTCCCGACCAGGAGAGAGTCACGTCGGCCAGTCGAGTGACGGGGCGTGTACCAGGAAGAAACTAAGTGACAAGCGGAGAGCGGCCCCCACCCACGCCGAGGCGCCAGTAAGAGGAGAGGCGCTCAGAGAAAGCTGCGCTGCCGCATACCCACTGCAGCACAAGCACTCGTAGTCACAAAGTCCCGGGGAGTGGCCGCTCGACCAGGTTGAGCGTGGGAGCGACGATGGGGTGACGCCCGTGCGCGCAGACCCTCGCGGCGAGCGGTGCGCCACCAGCCACTGAGTAGCACGCCTGGGCCAACCGATGCAAGTCTGAAATCATGCACGGGAGCACCCTGCGACTCAGTCAGAAAACGGTGCCAGCGGACCGGGTGAGCATTCCGCCGACACGGCGGGGCGACCCACCTGACCCGAACGTCTGAACAACGTGAGACCCACTGACGGTGAGTCCAGGCCCGGGTCGCTCCCAGGGAAGGTGGAGACGCGGCTGAAGGCCCCCAAGGAGTAGAAGCGCGGTTCCGTGTGACGAGGCGAGACCGTCTTTGCGTCGGAGGCAGAGCCGCGGGCCAGGACGAGCCAGGCAAGGTGAAAACAGCTACAGCAGGGCCTGGGGCCACTATGACCACACGCAACACGTGGTGTTGCAACGCAGCCGGCATTGCTGGTACACACACTTGGGTCCAAAGGCAGGAAGTGCACGTGCCAGGGAGGGCGGCGGGATGCCGCCGAACGAGTCTGGTGTCTGAGGAGCAGCTGAAGGCTGCTGTTCTTGAGAGAAACCCAAGGATTAAGAGCGCGACAAAGGACTGAGACGTGGCGGAGTACTCCGTCGGTCACGAGGCCGCGCGGTCAGGGCCGGATCCGCCCGGGCCAGAAGTGAGAACAACTACAGCGGGTCAGGGGCCAACTAGGGTCTGCACGCAGCACTCCCCCGCGCTGCAATGCAGATGGTATTGCTGGTCGACACACTTGGGTCCAAAGGCAGGAAGTGCGTGTACCAGGGAGGGAGGCAGCACGGCTGCCACACGAGGGAGAGAGCGCCGGGGGCAGCTGAAGGCTGCGCGAAGCGTGTAGCACGGTCGTTATACCTGTCCCTCTAGGTGATGGGATGGGTGGGAGGGGAGCTCAGTCGCCCCATCGTTGCCTTGTTTCCCCACGTTCGTCGGGCCTGCCTCCACCACGCTTGCCTCCCGACTGCCAACGCT